TTTATATCTTAGATGTTTATTTTAGTACCTCCCTTAACTTGGCAAAGAAAGGCCATAACTAAAATGTAAGGGTGCACACGATATGGGAAATTCCCTGACTCTGCAAGTACGTAAGTACGTAAGAGGCTATTGCTTAAAGAAACATGTATGAAAAACAATGTTTCATTTCTAACACCTTGTCAGTTTGCAGTATCTTAAAGACAAAGTACACAGTTTCAAAAATACAACTTTGCATTCTAAAACTTGTAATATTTGCCTTTGTCCATAACAATATTATACGTTAAATCAATCTGTCTGTCTATTTAATTTTAGCTACGCCATCTGAGTGTAATTAACTGTGCAATACAAAGTTATATTTAAGTTAGCTCTGAGTCTGTTTTCATTGCTCACTTAAATATGATTTCAGCGGGACCCAGAATCCATATGGATGTCCCGCTGGGTGGAGGCTGGATGCAACACTGGGTGGAGGCACTGTCGCTGTTATGTACCCCAACTCCCAAGTAGCAAAGATTCAGGAACGTGCGGCAGAGCGCAAGGAGGTAACTGGGGTGAAGGACCACAGGGGTATAGATGGACATACCGGTTCGGTTAGTTAGGCTGGGAGCTGAGCGGTATTCTCACGAACTGTGCGCTCAGACCCCAGCTATCTACCGAACGTCCATTCGTTTAAATAAAGGGAATGTAACGGACCGTTTTGTACACAAGGGGTAAAAACCGTTTAGGCGGTCGGCCCCCTTTCCAGAGATACAGGCACAGCTACTGCAGAACACCAAACTCCCGAACTGGATACAAAATAGCACTCCAACTCCCGAACTGGAACCTCCCAAATAGCTGCTAGCAGACGAACAGGAAAAGCAGACAATCAGCTTACACTCCTGGCAATCAGTCTCTAACAGCATACAGTGAATCCCCCCAAGAACGAGACAAGGCTCCGTGTTGAGGGTCAAGCAGTGGTCTGTTTAATAGGGGCTACCTGCCCAGTATTTATGCAGGTCTCCCACCTGGTGGACACTCCCCTAGGGGACCAAATGGGAGACTGTGACAAGGGACAGACAAGTAGACAAATAGGACACACAGTCACAGTATATTCCCACAATGCATCCTGGCTTCCTCCCCTCTGCCCTGGGAGATAATTGAGAAGTAACTCAATTATCTCCCAAGACAAAGGCAAAACTCCATTACACATGTAGGGACACAAAACCAGTATTATACTTTAAAATACATAAAGTAACATTTATTACATAAAACACAGACATGTAACATATCCCCAGATAGCTCAGGTCTGAGCGCACATTATTAAGCGAATGGCGCTCAGACCACACGAATACAGTTTAATCGCCATGGAGCTAAAGTCTTTACAATCAGTTTCATACGAATGGGCTCCATGGGATTCCTATCTGGGGTATAACACATTCAAACAAATCTACCGAACCCCAGGCAGAAAAGCACGAATGAAGCTTTTCTGCAGGTAAAAAAAGATGTCTTTTAACAGGGGGCCATAGTCCAAAGGCAGCAGGCGAGCAACCAGGCTTCTCCAATGCAAGGTGGCGAGATTGGTCTCGTCACAGGGAATATAATGGAAGTTATGTATTTAATGTGAAATGTAAGTTCTGCTGCACGGAGGGATAATCCACTTAACTGTATATTCTAGTGGGAATATCCCTCTCGTGCAGCAGTGCATGGTGGGAGAAATGTATGTATTGTTCAGTTCCCCATGTAGTCGCCTACTGTACAACCCCTGTAAAGTCAGTAGGGAAACCCCTTGCATGGGGAATCCCATAAATACTGTGACCTGAAAATAAAACCTCAGTTGACTCCCAGCCTATGTGTCGTCTAGTTCTTGGGAAAGAAGGATTCTTGTAACGCTACCGGGATTATTGTATGCTGTATTTATTTCCTTGGATTATTTTATGCTGTTCCTGTTACCCAGTGGAGATACTGTGGATTATACTACCTCTCCGCTACACTTTCCTATGGGAAAAAATCTGACGCGTGCAGAGTGTGAGGACATCTAGCATCAGAAAAGGTGCCAAAGGTTGTAGAGGAGACGTTAACCTTCAGTGGTAATTATTGCAGTTTCCCAGTTTGCAATGAAATCAGTTCAGGAAGGGGGGTGTCTGCATCTTTAAATGCTGCTAAGAATTCCTCCCTGTTCACAGCAATCTCTGCTACAACTGTTTAGTATCTTGAGCTGGTTATAGCTGCCTGCTGGAATGTTCTTTCAGGATGTTCCAGCACTCCTCTTAGTATAGAATCAAACCGTTCTCAATCCCAGGCCTCTCTCTCTGCTTAGCCCCAGGGCTTTGCCAGGTCTTGCATCGGCTATCTCTACACTAAAACTGCAGGGTAGTCAATGACCACAGAAACAACTGTGATCCCAGCGGGGGGTTACACAAATAAATACACAAGCTTGCAACCTAGTGAATAACCCAGACGTGAAGTGGAAATGTAATATATTTTATCTTGTATTTATGGCAATAATTTATTGATTATATTTTCAGTAGTTATGATGTGTATCCAGATTTTTGGGTTTATACTATTGGTCATGACACTTAGGGGAGTGTCTACCTAGGTTAATATCCTGCTGGTAATATTCACCCTCCTATGTGACATTGTTGTTGTATAAGAGTCACAATGGCTAACTAGCCTTTCCTTTCCCTTCGTCCATTTACTGGTCTGTGTCTTAAACATCACATTTTGTTTTTACAGAAACAAACATAACTCGAGGCTGATAGATGACAGACTATACATGGATCCACTGTTCTCTTCCAACAAGTACCCCTGTGCAGCCTTAAGGTATTAAATAATGATCATTCATTGGTGGAACTAATGTAAAGAGGGCCAGCGCAAGTGCGGTTACAAGGTAGATCCCCCTCTGTCATACAACTCTGACTATGCTAAGACAGCTGGGGATCTACCATTTGCCCATCCTCGCAGGGTTATATTTGTGAATAGTGTTTGAATTTGAATGTAAGCATGTTTTTATATGGAGTATATGTGTAGGCATGTAGGGGTGTATTTGTGTATAGTGTTTGCATTTGAATGCAGTTGTGTATTTGTATATACTGTTGTGTGAAGCGTATGTGTTAGAATGCTGAGATGTATTCACATATGCACATAAACTACCAAGCACACATACACATTGAAACACACAAAGATACATACATGCACACACACAGACACATATACGCACAAAGCTACATGCAACTACACACACTGACACAAACACACACAGATACACACATAAGTACACACACTCCACTGACACATACACACACATATTCACACTGACACAAACACAGAAACACATATACACACACTGACTCATAGAGACACACATTCACATATATACACACACAGACACTCAGATCACAATTTACATATTTTTATATATTATTATTATTATTATTTTATTATTTATATAGCGCCAACAAATTCCATAGCGCTGTAGGGTGGACTAACAGACACGTAATTGAGATCAGACCACTGACGTACAGGAACAGAGGGGGTTGAGGGCCCTGCTCGATGAGCTTACATGCTAGAGGGAGTGGGGTATAGTGACACCAGAAGGGTTTATTGAGTGCTTGGTAGGTCATTTTTGACAGGGAAGGAACGGAGTCATGGGGTGGGGGATGAGAAACCTGCTGACAGTTTAATTGATACGCTTTAATAAAGAAGTGAGTTTTCAAAGATTTTTTGAAGGAATGGAGGCTGGGTGAAAGTCTGATTGAGGAGGGAAGGGAGTTCCACAGAATAGGTGCAGCCCTGGAGAAGTCTTGAAGGCGAGCATCAGAGGTGGGGATCCGGGCAGAGGATAGGAGTAGGTCTTGGGCTGAGATATACCCTGCTTCCAGGGACGTATTAGCTGCAAGGCAAACAAGCATTGGGCGGCATTTTCCAGGGTGCGGCAAAAAAAGCCACCCCCAAATGCCCAGGGCAAATGTCTTGTTAGCCTAATGGCTAACTAAAAATCCGGTCGGGCGTCATATTTCGGCTCCCAGCATCACTCTACGGCGCACAAGGGAGCTGAGCAGAGAGCTCAGGGGGAAGTGCTCCCTCGCCAGCGCCGCCCAGCAGCCCCACTGGACCCCAGGGAAAGGGACAACCCCCCTCTCCCCCCCCCCCTCCCAGCATTCTCAAAGGTAAGGAGGCTGGGGGGATTGAATAAAAAAAAAAGTGATTGTGTTAATGTGAGTGTGTTAATGTGAGTGTGTTAATGTGAGTGTGTAAATGTGAGTGAGTGTGTTAGTGTGTGTGTGTGTGTGTGTGTGTGTGTCTGTTAGTGTGTTAGTGTGTGTGTCTGTTAGTGTGTGTGTGTCTGTTAGGGTGTGTGTATGTGTGTTAGTGTGTGTGTCTGTTAGTGAGTGTGTGTTAGTGTGTTAGTGTGTGTGTATGTGTGTGTCTGTTAGTGAGTAAGTGTGTGTGTCTGTTAGTGAGTGTGTGTATGTCAGGGAGTGGGTCTGTTAGGGAGTGTGTTACTATGTGTGTGTCGGTTAGTGAGAGTGTATGCGTGTCTGTTGGTGAATGTGTGTGTCTGCTAGTCACTGTATGTGTCTGTTATTGAGTGTGTATGTCTGTTAGCTAGTGTATGCGTGCCTGTCAGTGAATGTGTGTCTGTGTGTGTATTTAGAAGGTGGGGCAGGGGGGAAGGGTGGGGTGGCGCGCTGGGGGTAGAGGGGAGGACGCCTGAGTTTTGTCATGCCTAGGGCAGCACAAAACCAGGATACACCACTGCCTGCTTCCATATCTTTTGTGTACAGGAGGGTGGCTTCACTGTGGTCCAGTAGCATCTGGCTGAGTCTGGGCTAGGCTGCCTCCCTCCTCACTGGTCCTCTCCATGCAGATCATTGGTTAGGAAGGAAGTGACTGTTACGCAATTTCTTCCAGCAACGTGTCTTCACTTTGACTCTATGTGCCTGGGCCAACTGATAGGACCCTTCAGCTGATGGACCCCACGCATTAGTTCTGCCCACTGTGCTCATCTGTGCTTGATTTTAGCAATGAATGTTACAACTGTCGACTTCTTATTGAAGAAACCTGTAAAGTAACGTGGGTGCAATCAAGCAATATTGTTAAAAATCAAAATATTTCTTACGATATCTTAATTCTTTGTGTATTGCGCTGCTTCCCAGTATATTAACGGTGGTAAATGTTCTGTAATGAAAAACTTGTTCATTGTTGGTTTGTAACTGTCTTGTGGTTTATTTCACTCTGTATCCGTCTTTTTGTTTAACAGGTGGGATAACAGTCATTTTCACCTCAAGAGATTTACTCCTAAAACATCCTATGTCATCCACCCGGACTTCACTTCTGAGTCTATGAAAATAAACACGTTAGTTGGACGTAACTTTCAATCATTTTAGCCAGATTTATTTGCTTATTAATGGATGCATGCTAGAAAAATGAAATATCCTGAATTATACAAGATTTGCTCTACACGTCCAATGGACATACTAGCTGTAAAATATAACACAGCAATAGAAATATTTTGCAGATCTTTAGAGTCAAAATGCCAGCACGGTAAAAAAGTAACTCATTGTCTGGAAGCTTCAGAATGCTGATATAACTGGCGCATATATAAATATATACAACAAAGTAGCAAAATGTGACCTTGCCCAAGAGTAAGAGTGTGAGCTCCTTGTGTAATTACTTGGCATTGTCTGCTTTTACTTTTAGTCAGTTAGACGCCTTGGAGAGAAATAAACAGCCATTTTTCTCATCATCTAACATTACAAATTATTTTCTTTAATCTCGACATATTTTAAGCTTCTTCTGCATAAAAAATCCATCTCATAATCTCTGTGTCTAATGCTGCTTCTAGCAATGTGACTAATGAGCGCTCTGATGCCTGGCATATGTATTAATTAAAGTGACAGTACATGATTTCCATTCCTGATCTTTACATGTGTAGCCACAATGGTTAACCAGCCTTTCTTTTCCCATTGCCCATTTACTGGTCTATGTTTTAAATATCATTTTTTTTTTGTTACAGAAACAATCATGACTCGAGTCTGATAGATGACATGGATCCAGTGTTCTCTTCCAGCACGTACCCCTGTGAAGCCTTAAGGTAATAAATAACAGTCATTCATTGGTGGAGCTACTGTAGAAAGAGCCCTGGTGTAAAATTGTTTTGGGCCACCTCCCAGCACAAGTGTGGCCGTAGGTAGATCCCCATCTGACGTACAACTCACATTATGCTATGCCATCTGGGGATCTAACATTTGCCCATCCTCGCAGGGCTGTATTTGTGAGCAGTGTTTGTGTTTCAATGTAAGCATGTCTTTATATGGAGTATGTGTGTATGCCTGTAGGGGTGTATTAGTGTGTAGTGTTGACATTTGAATGTAGTTGTGTGTTTGTATGTAAGGATGCTTTTTCAATGCAGTAGTTTACTTAGTGTAGTGTATGTGTTTAAGTGTTCTTGTGTATTAAGTTGTTGTTTGATTGAAGGCATGTGTTTGTATCTTAATATAGGGGTATGTTGCAGAGATGTATGCCCATACGCAGAGACACTGTTATGCACACATACTCACTGAAACACTCACAGATACACACAGTTAATTGTTGGTTTGTAACTGTTTTGTGGTTCATTTCGCTCTGTACCTGTGTTTTTGTTTTTTTTAACAGGTGGGATAACAGTCATTTTTACCTCATGAGATTTGTTCCTAAAAAGTCCTATATCATCCACCCGGACTTCACTTCTGAGTCTCAACAAGGATTCTTCTAGTGGTGTGACTTCTTTAAGCACACTAATTACCTTAATGATAATCAATTAAAATCGTGACTTGCATCTCTCAAAGTACAGTGTGTAGAAAAGACTATGTATCATGTCAATCATCTTAAAATGTCTCTTAATTTATTTATATTTTTCCTCTCTCCCCTCCAACATCTGGTCTTTCATCTTTTCCTGTTGACTCTCATGTTTAAATTGATGCTCAGGGGAATATGTCCCAATTTAGGTCATATTTGTGTAAATTTCCACATCTAATGAATCATTGAGTTGTGGATCCAAGAATATATAGGAGGGGGGTGTGTGGGGGGGGGGGATGACCAAAGAATAAAAATCAACAGACTGGAGACATTATAGTTCTTTACAAGATTAAGATTTTATTTTTTGGGTATCAAATAATTTGTTCACACTGATATATTATGCCCCTCTAGTTGCTATATATGGGGGGTCTAAAGAGTCAATAATGATAAAAGTAGTAAAAATAAAGATGGAAACTCTAAACTCAAATCCAACTATTGATAATAGATTTTTTTATTTTTTTTTATTTTTTTTGCTTCTGAGTTTCAATTATGTTAAGCCCCTCTAGCCACCAATACTCACTACCTGCATAATAAGTAGCAGGTATTAGTTGAATATGAAGTTGTATTCAACTTTTTGTGTAGTACTAAAAAATATCCTTAAAATGTTTCTTCTCTACAGCCACAAGGTGGCCGGCTCTTTACAAAATCAGCTGGTAATAACGTCCATCGACCAGGCAGTAGGAGATTGTATTAGAATTAAAGCAAGTAGCGGTAATTAATGTACAGCATGTATTCAAGGTCTGGATGCAAAGGGTATAAAAACCACCCCCTCTAGTGGTACAGTAGTAATCGTATATTAAATAAATACCTGCACTCTTATTTGCAATAATAAAACATTATTTAAATTAATCTACATAAACTCACAAAGATGTAATACAATAACCAGACATCAGCATTCAATTAATTCATGATTTCCGCTTAACATTATGTATATTTCGTGTTTATATAGTACAAAAATGAAAAACTTAGTAATGAACCAAAAGTGATACAAAAAAAAACAATATATAGATTGCTGTACAAAATATGTACCTAATCAGTGGACAGAATGGACACCCAATGTTTCAGCACTGGAGACCCACCCTTTTTTTTTGGGGGGGGGGGTATTTCTTTAATAAAGTAGGAGATTGTATTCCTGAAGCTAATGTTTTACGATGACATTTATTTTAAAATTTATAGTTATGGGGGGTTTTTTTCAAAGCAAAAACATGTTTTGGACTACTGTAACATCACTCACAAATATTCTGTTCATGGTTTGAAATAACTGAATTCATGGAATCCTGTAATTGAGTGGTCAGTTACTGACAATATATTTTATCAGTAAACTGGTGACAATTTCTTTCCAATGTTATGGAATATAAATCCAAGAGGCCGCACAGATTCTATGAATAAATCTACGAGAGTTTTTAGTAATATGAGATCTTTTCCTGAACTTTTGGGAAGTACTGCCAGCAGTCATGATGCAAATTACAGTGAGGCAAAAAAGTATTTGATCCCCTGCTGATTTGGAACGTTTGTCCATTAATAAAGAAATGATGAGTCTATAATTTTAATTGTAGGTGTATTTTAACAGTGAGAGACAGAATAACAAAAAAATCCAGAAAACGCATGTCAAAAAAGTTATAAATTGATTTGCATGTCATATCGATATATGAGCAACTTTCTACAGATTTGTTACAAAAGACACATACCTTTTTGAAGTATTTTGGTTTCCACAGTTTTGCGCATATTATCAGAGGAAAGAATTGTTTTTGAAGTACGTAGTTATTCTTTGATAATCCCCTGCCAAACAAATCTTCTATTTGCAAGTCGTCATGTACTATTTATTCTCAATAGACAAGGATAAAGAGGGGCGAACGTGCATCTCAATTAAGTATCATCATATCTCTCCATTACTGGGTAATGCAACCACGTTCGAACGATTTTCCTCCTGCTCACATCTACCTTCGCATAGTTACTCTGGAATGTTTAAACAAAGGACCCTTGGAACGCCATCATGCAGCTTCAGTCAACATATGTTTCTCCTGTTTCAAGCCGGGTACTAAAACTCTTTCCAGGGAACAATTTGAACTTTTCTTCAGTTATCTTCTTGCAGCAGAATATTTTTAGATATTCAGTCAGTAATAATTCAGACTTAAATCCTGCCCTTGCTTTCTCCACCATTAAATGTGTGAAATTAGCTGTTGTCACACAAGAGCTCCAATAATCAAATCAGATTGTCTTGTTGCCAAAAAAGTATATATTTAAAAAAATACAGCATCCAAAAATAACACAAATTCTTTGCACACATCTGGACCAATACAGCAATGTGTATGCACTTCAAGATAATATCCATTTTTATGTTAAAAACACTGGTGGTGAATATCTAATTGCAAAAGTTTTTATATGTCTAAGAATTCAGTTAATTACGAGGTGTACACATAAGGTTACCTGATTCTTTAAAATATGTAAAAAGACTTGTAACTTAGTAACCATTCTGTCCAATCCATGATTAAAGCAATGCATTATACAAATGGTTATACTTAGGGAGTAAAATATAATTTACAAAAAGGACTTTACTATATACATTATTAACCCCTTAAGGACCAAACTTCTGGAATAAAAGGGAATCATGACATGTCACACGTCATGTGTCCTCAAGGGGTTAAATGAATGCCTTCAGAAATGGGAACCTTCTTAATACACATGGGAGTATGACTTGCAATGCTGGGCCAAAGGTTAATAATGTTAGATATATAGGGCTGCTCAGTTCCTGTGTCTGAAAGAAGTCTAAAAGTATATTAATTGCAACTAATCCTACAATACATGATATTTTAAAGATCATTAAATATTTTTCAACTTTTCTCAACTTCAGGTTAATGAAGCCTTTTTGGGGGATAAGTCATGCGCCTGATACCTCACTGCTCAATTCTCTGCTATTTTGGAGTTTGTTTCAGTCCTCTGGCTGTGACTGATGCAGCCTGCATGAAAAGAATTGTTTTATTTTAAATCAGATGTGCTCACAGTATAACCTAGCTAAGGTCTCCTATGACCTAGCTAAGGTCTGGCCCACATTTACGGAGGACATTGAGAGGTGGTGTGGTCTTGAAATGTCATGGTTAGGTAGATTTGATTTGGTTAAAATTACTACCAAAATGTTTTATTTCCCCTCACTACACATTTTTTAGGAAGGTTCATTCTGCCCTTCTGACATTTTTATGGAATAGGCAGCCTTGCAGAATCCAATTGGCCATCTTACAAAAGCTCAGAGTTAGTGCAGGTATGGGTTTGCCAAACTTTATTCATTATTATTTTGTGACCAATGGGGCTAATGCTCTTAAATTTAATCTGAATCATGGATGCCCCCTGTGGCTTGAGATGGAGGTTACAAAAATTATTCCTCATTTAATAAAAGTTGTCCTATGGTTGCTTCCATCTCAACGCCGACTACCAAAGTCACTATTAAGGCTTTGGATGTCTTGTATAAAAAGATTAACCCTTCCACTACCTCCTCCATGGCTGCTCCCTTGTCGGTGTTGCGATCTGCGTTACCTGATCTAGATGTAGAATATTGGCTTTCCCATTCTGTCAGACATATTAATGATTTATTTTTGCCTAATACGTATTTACCTTTTGGCCAATTATATATAGGCCAATATTCCAATATTGTTGAATGGGTAAGGCAGTGGCTGAGTGACAGGCAACAGAGGGTTGTAGTTAATGGAATATATTCGAAGCTTGGACTTGTCACCAGTGGGGTACCTCAGGGATCTGTACTTGGACCCATTCTCTTTAATATTTTTATTAGTGATATTGCAGAAGGTCTTGATGGTAAGGTATGTCTTTTTGCTGATGATACTAAGATATGTAACAGGGTTGATGTTCCAGGAGGGATAAGCCAAATGACAAATGATTTAGGTAAACTAGAAAAATGGTCAGAATTGTGGCAACTGACATTTAATGTGGATAAGTGCAAGATAATGCATCTTGGACGTAAAAACCCAAGGGCAGAGTACAGAATATTTGATAGAGTCCTAACCTCAACATATGAGGAAAGGGATTTAGGGGTGATTATTTCTGATGACTTAAAGGTAGGCAGACAATGTAATAGAGCAGCAGGAAATGCTAGCAGAATGCTTGGTTGTATAGGGAGAGGTATTAGCAGTAGAAAGAGGGAAGTGCTCATGCCATTGTACAGAACACTGGTGAGACCTCACTTGGAGTATTGTACACAGTACTGGAGACCGTATCTTCAGAAGGATATTGATACCTTAGAGAGGGTTCAGAGAAGGGCTACTAAACTGGTTCATGGATTGCGGGATAAAACTTACCAGGAAAGGTTAAAGGATCTTAACATGTATAGCTTGGAGGAAAGACGAGACAGGGGGGATATGATAGAAACATTTAAATATATAAAGGGAATCAACACAGTAAAGGAGGAGACTATATTTAAAAGAAGAAAAACTACCACAACAAGAGGACATAGTCTTAAATTAGAGGGACAAAGGTTTAAAAATAATATCAGGAAGTATTACTTTACTGAGAGGGTAGTGGATGCATGGAATAGCCTTCCAGCTGAAGTGGTAGAGGTTAACACAGTAAAGGAGTTTAAGCATGCGTGGGATAGGCATAAGGCTATCCTAACTATAAGATAAGGCTAGGGACTAATGAAAGTATTTAGAAAATTGGGCAGACTAGATGGGCCGAATGGTTCTTATCTGCCGTCACATTCTATGTTTCTATGTAATTACAGACCAAGTTTGGTCTGTATGCCTCCGATACCCTGATGCAAAGACAGATGGTGGCTTTACTTAGTGATCATTTTAATGTGTCTGATCAGGATCTGAACTTATGTAAAGTTATAATGTTATCATTAGAAAAAAATATCATCCAGATCTTGGTCAGAAACGCACCATCTTAATGTGCTATAATTATTTTTCT